AGAAATTCAATACATACTAACAGAGTACAGTATTCCATCAAGTATCATTTCTTATGAAGAATCTCTAAAATATCCTTAAAATACAGAAAGTCTGACTGGAATATAACCAARATAAACTGACTTATGGAAAACTACAATAAGATTTAAAAAAAAAATATTTTCCATCAAATTGTAGACAAATATTAAAATCTTTTAGTTCTCATTCAAGCTAAGTTGATGGTTTATTTCTTTGCCACTAGATTCATAACAGAYGAAGGTGCACTGAAACGTATTAGGAGTACATTCACAGGGCTATACACATTAGATGAGGTTAGCCGTTATATTATAAAGCCATTATATATTTTCATTCTGAACATAAAGAATGAACACTAGAATGGCAGTCGGCTCTATTGATTCAAAAATATAGTCTTTTATATTGCTGTTCATCTTTGCTTGCAACCAATATTTTTAACATTACAGTATGCTAAGAGTATTTACTATTAAAAAGGGACCAGAAGGTGAACAGACAGTAAAAATGGCTTTACAAGATCCTGAAAAGTTTGTCCTCAAGCCTCAAAGGGAAGGTGGTGGTAAGTGCCTAAACTTAGYAAGACAAAACTCTCTCTGAAAATAATTATTTAGTGTGCATACATGTACAAACATCAGATTAAGCTGCATCATCAGTGAGGGGTATCGAATGTTAAAATCCGAGACTCGCAGAGCCTTGGAACCCCTYATTTTAAAATCCAATCCCGATCCTTTGGCTGAACGAGTCTGATAATTTGGCAATTGCGATATTCCGAGCCAAAAACCGACTTTAAATCCAAGCCCTTTTATTTTAAACACTGAGCTTGCGCGTCTTGGGAGATTTTTTGCGAGCCTCGCAATTTTTTAGACACCATTCTATACCCCTTCAGTGGGAATRAAGTTTAAAATATGGTCTAAAAGTCTAGTTGYCTGGCATCATTAAAAACATCATTGAAACAGACAAGTCATGTATTTACATGTATCTTGATGTTTTTAGGTAACAACATTTTTGGAGATGACATCAAGACAACACTAAACCAAATGAAAACTCCTGTTGACCGATCTCARTTTATTCTGATGGACAGAATAAGATCACCTCTTGTAAAGAACTACATTATAAGACCAGAGCTTGACAAGCCTTTGTTGGCAGATGTGCTTAGTGAATTTGGAACTTTTGGAATCCTTATCAGGTATCAAAATGAAACAAATTGAATGCCATTGAAATTGTTTTACCAAATTACTTTGTCCATTCACATTCTCTTGCCTATATTTTCTTAACCTTCAGTGTTTTGATGTATATAGCCTTTTGTTCATGTGCATTCATATGTATCTATCAACAACAATATGGTCCCCTCATTTCATCCATTCATTCTCATTTTAAACAAATTTTGTTTGTTGATATCTGCAGTCTTGGCAAGCGCATTCTTGTTAGCAAAGAAGTGGGACATCTGATGAGGACCAAGAGTGTAGAGCACCAAGATGGTGGAGTTGCATCAGGAAGAGCCAACTTAGACAGTCCTTACTTAGTCTAATCTACAAGTCTGATTTCACATGTCTAATTCTACATTTTTATAGCTTWATCACTAGATCAATCCTTGTCAAGGTACCATGAATAAACACACTGACATAAAGGGAGATTTTTCTGGAGAACAAGACAAAAGCCTTTCATTYGTTTGAAGAAATTCATGGTTTTGTCCCCGAAATTGAGATATATTTCCATGAGCAGCAAGTTGTCTGTACAGTATTTATGGTATTTTTCTGTGTTTATAAAAAAAATGGTTTTAGATTTTTGTGTACAAAATTGACTTAAACAAAAATTTCAATCAAAAATTATGTAATATACATTACTGCATGCAGGCTATATAATTCACTGTATAATTCACTTGAAGACTGTCATTTTGATCTGAAATCATTGAATTGAATATGTGTGGCTTACATGAGTTAACATGGATTTTTATTTTATTTTTTCTTGTAATGCGAAGGGATGTGGTGAAGAAGAGGAAAGAASTATAATTCAGTGTAGTGAATCAAGCAAAAARAAAACATTATAATTATTTAGATTTATCAAACATTGTATTCAAAAGTATTGAAAAATAAACACTGGGTAGTTTTTCTAAGAAAGAGGGTCTTCAGTTTTGATTTTTTGGAAATAGTCATTATTTATCACGCTTCGTTTGATTGGATAAAAGCGAGTGATCACGCCGGGCTTCCTGTCCCTCGAGACATGGAAAGGAACAGCTCGCTACGAAAATGGCTGCAAATCGACTGAAGTGGAAATGGACAGTGTGTATTGTAAGTATTCGTGAGAGGTTTTACAGCGCATTTTTTACTGCTAAGATTAATATTTGAGTGATCAATTTTCTGTGTACTACGTTTGGCAAYGGCTCTGGCCGGAATGCTTGACAGCTAATCACGGATGTCAAGAATATAGAGTAAAATTATGCCATGATATAAGCTTAAATCAAACAACAATCAGTTAGTGTATGTGATTTTTATTTATATTCGATGTGGTTTTACAATGGTTTCCGTAAAATTGGTCACTATAGTAGAGTGAAACTCCTTGCAGTACAAACGTACCACATCCATTCAGCCCTATATAACTCGAGTCATATATTACTTGCCTGAAAGTTATATTTTCATTTCCAGCAACATAGAAGAAGAGCTACAAGCTCTGCTATGATCACAGCTAAAAGTGAACTAAGGTATAGGATAACAATCGTAAAATGTTTTGGGTGTCAGGGTTCCTGTGCTAAAGAAAGGATTCCAAAAACAGCAGAGTGACGTCAAAATATTGCAATAGTCAACGTGTAGTGACGCCATTTTGCAGCAAAGGATGATGGTAGTCCTCGCACTTTTTTATGTCCGCTARAACAGTCGTCCTATAACCCATTTTCCTTTTTCTAAACGAAATTCTAAAAAGAAAYTGTAAAAMATGGCTTTTAAGGAGATATTTCAGGTGCTATGAAAAGTGCGAGGACTAGAACTACCATCATGCTTTGCTGCACAAAATGGCGTCACTGCACATTGCATTATTACTCAGTATTGCATTCACTGACGTTATCTGATKATAAATATTAAGAAGAGTGTGCCCTCCTTAACCGTTACTTTTCTTTGCTTTTCTCTGAGACATAGGTGAAGATCGTGTCTTTCCCTTCTCCTATGTTTTCSTAACATAGCCCACCCATACTTAATTTTCTTTCCTTTTTTTCTCTCCTGTTCTTTCTTATTAACGATAACTGTCTTCTGGATTAGCTGTGTTTCGTGTGTTTACCCGATAGTACAGTCAGTGTAAATAGAAGATCGGAGACCGATAGACATCATGGAATTTTTTAACTGCACAAAACCAATAATAACCGTTTTTCTATTTACTTTTCGGTTAATACTTTTTAGGGATTTCGTACGTTTTGTTTAATAATGTATTATCGGATTCTGATGAACTATGTCACGTGATCATATTTAGTGCTGCGTGCTAGTGCTGAAAGTATAACACCCAAAGGACGCGGATAAATCACGTCACAGTGGGCGAGATCTGAAAAACCACCAATTKAATAAGAAAATTGATGAGATTGCGAAATGGTTTCGATAAAAGTTGTAATAAAAATTGAAAATGTAAGAAGATAAAAAAAGCGATGAAATACAAAATGGGGTCATGTAAAAAGAAGGGTGTTCCCGCCAATTCAACCCATTTATTCGTGATTGTCGTAAAGAGGAGAACCAGGCAGAGAAGATCTGATTCCTAAAAAAAATAAATAATGATATTAGATGCTTAGCTATGCTTTGTCTAGTCAATGAATATATACTTTATGTATGACTTCAAAATGAGGTGGTTATAATATCAATTAAATAGTATTATTATTCCTGTTCCAGCAAGATGATCGCTGAAAATAATGTTTTCTTGTATTCATACTTACCGGACAGTTCAATTGGCATTTTTTCTTCTACCTCAACATATTCATTGGAGACACCTTCAAAACGAACAAGAACTTAATGTATAACTCGTTATAACAACATCGTAGAGTTAAAAAAGCATTGACTTCAAGGATTGGTTGAGAAATATCTGAACTTGTCATTAATATCTATTATCATCACTATCATAATCAGTGCCAATGATGACTATAATCACAATATTACTATATGGAAAGACAGCGGTAGTGATAGATATTATCTTTGATACTTACCTTGCACAGATTGTGTTGATTTCATAGAATCATTATCGCAACCTTTGACTTTTTTCCTTGACTTGAAACGACAGTACAMACCGACCACAATCACCAACAAGACAATCAAACACACCCCGGCAATAATGCCGATGAGAACCTCTTGTTTAAGACCGCCCGAGTTGTCGCTAGTTGGGTTCTCTGTGAAGGTTGGCTTGGGGTCTTGTTTCTGTTAACATGATTTCATAAAACAAATAGTTAAATTCTACTTTTGTGGGGTAATTTTGTTGAAAATGACTACGGACAGCTTTCYAATTACAATTTTGGAACCAAAGTAGACAGGGTGACCGTAAGTTTGATCAGTTTACCGTGAATGATGATGTAATGACGTTCAATGTTTTGCCATCAGTTGTTGTGAAAGTCAAATTTCCCGTTTTGACCATTTTCTCTAATTGACCAGTAAGCGTTTCTACACTTGGGTCGTTGTCGTTTCTTGACAACAAGGTAAACGTCACAATGATGCTTCCTTTCTCAGCTTTCAGATTTTCGATTCTGTTCTCATCGATGACAAGCTTTTTGGCAATGTCCGTCCTTAACATTCGTTTGAATTGCTCTACGTCATTACTGACATGATGGTCGTAGCTGAAAATCAATACCTTGTCGTCATTATATACTTCAAATCAATACATTGTCGTCATTATATACTTCAAATCAATACATTGTCGTCATTATATACTGCAAATCAATACCTTGTCGTAATTATATACTTCAAATCAATACATTGTCGTCTTTATATACTGCAAATCAATACCTTGTCGTCATGTTTTGGTGCATTTTGATGTTTGGGTTTGGTCCAAGTTTTTGTATAAACGCAGAACACAAATTCAGCCGGCGAAAATACTTCATTTTAAGACAACGAACAGTGTGTTCAGTTGACTTGTCGTCAAACCTCAATGCAGATCAAACCTATCAGCTTGATCAGCATGATTGTGTGATTACTACAAAATCTCCATACATCTCTAACCAAAACAAATCTCAAGAAGCATTAATTATCAGGTTAACTTACTCAGCATCCAGTGAAAACTTGACTTYTTTTGCACTGTTTTTGTTAGTCTGAGGTGTTGGCTCATTTGTTGTTACGGGACCTTCGACTGAGCTAGTGGATTCTTCCTTCTGTGTTGTGACACCTTCAGTAATCTTAMCTGTGGTAGTTGTATTAGTCCTGGTAGTAGCAGCTGTAGTTATAATAATAGTGATAAAGCTTTATTTCATATACAAAGTCCTATTTTCCCGATAACATGCTCTCCCTAAYAGCCATATATACAGTTTTACAATTAAAGGGCTACTTGGACGAAAATTGC